AAATACGTACGTCAACTTATGAATTGGATTCGGACAAGGCATAAACACAAAGAAGGGTATGTGCGAGCATTTTCAGTCAGTTGAACTTGTTTCCCGTACATGTCTGAGACGATAATTGGGTTTTTATGAACTTGTTATCCTGGCATTCGAGCAGTGCACCCAACCAGTACTAGTTGACGGGTAGCTGTCTCGGGGACCGCTATAGTAGTCAATCCTCTGTACAGTAAGCCCAGTCCCTTGGTAGTGTCACTTGCACTGAGCATCGAATACAATGCATCATTTATTGGGCAGGCTTTCGAAAAGAGTTTCTACGGAAGGACTGGGCCGTCTCACATCAATCAAGTCGATATTTGAGCTCCAGAATTTCGAGTTCGAGTTCCAGAGTGACACTATCATCTAATTTAAATACCGGTAAGCTTACACAACTCCTCGTATGTCAACAAAAATTCCTGCAGATCAAGCAATGGATGTTAATGATGAATTACAGACCTAAACTATACCTCCACCCAGCCCTGATCGATTCCCTCTCGCATGACCCACCTGCATACCCCTAACCACTTTCTTATCCTCTCTTCATCTCGTTCTTCCCCCTCTTCCAACACGCTTGTGTCACCAGAACCTTGCAGTGCCAATACAGCTCACCCAACAACCATCATACCCAGAGGCCTTTGCTCTCCCGCAATATCCAACGCTTCACATATATCTCCAAGCGTACTTGCGACTACCCGTTGATCAGGCATCGAGCCGCGCTCGATAATGGCAATAGGCGTGTTCCGAGGGTATGGACGCTCCTCTCGTCTCCTTTCACTATTCTGCAGACCTTCCCCACTGTTGCTGTCATTGCGAATCATAGCGTCAACAACCTGCGCTATCCGGGCGACGCCCATGAGGATAAGCACAGTCCGCGAGCATTCGTAACCAGGAAGCTTGACCTCCTTGCCCTGTCGCCCGACTCCGGTACACACAACGACACTTTCTGCAACGCCACGCTGCGTGACTGGTATTCCAGCAAAAATAGGCGCTGCAAGTGCAGACGAAACACCCGGGACAACAAGCGGTTCGAACCCGTGTGCTCGGAAGAAGAGTACCTCCTCCCCTGCACGGCCGTAGACAACTGGGTCTTCTTGTTTCAGCTGTGTGACGAGATAATTGTCAGTGTCAAAGAAATGAAGAATCGGACGTACTCTGACGACAGTGAGGCCACGTCGAGCAGCTTCGACAGCTGCGTCCATCATCTCTGACTGCGCGCCTTCGGCATTGCCAGGGAATTTGCTTGCAATGCACACCTCGATAGTTTCAGGTATGAGAGCCAGTATGGCCGCGGGATGGAGCTTGTCCGAGAGAACAAGATCTGCATGTTTCATAAGCGCATTATGAGTTGCAATGGTGAGAAGGGAGGGATATCCTGGGCCGGAACCAACGAGGAGAATACGGCCTTTCTTCGGAGGCGGTAAAAGTGTTAAGTTATGTAGTGAACTCTCGTTTGGAACCTGAACTGAGCATGGTGAAATCGTTTGGGGAGAGTCGCCAGATAATATGAGCTTCATATCGTCTTCTGACATGGATGCCAACCGTGTGATAGCTCAATACTCGCTGACCTGAGCAGCCCATTTCATGCGGCGGCGGGAGGACTCGTCTTTGCTTTCGGTGGCACTACTTCTCCAACCAGGTACGGGCCTGTTAGGAGTGGTGACACTACTGTTCTCACCTTCTTCACACTCTGCGACCTCGTCATCTGTATTCTTAGCCAAGCGTCGAAGTCTTCCGACCTGCCTGACAGCTCCGGCAATGTCTTTTGGAAGCATGCTGACAATCTCTCGTCTAACATGCCCCGCGAGCCTGCATCCCTCCCCATTGGTTGTCACACCCACTTGTAGCGCACTCTGCCCGCCTGTAGATGGATCAGCGAAACGGTGCATGGACGCAAAGGAGAAGTCGCATAGTGCAGGATGGTCGGTAACGTTTATGGGGATGTTATGTGCATGACAGATACGTGCAAGTGCGGGTGTGTCCACCGTGTGTATGGTGATGCGAATAAGAGATATAGATGGGTTTTCGGCGAGGAATGCAGAGAGGGACTCTTCTGGAGCTGAGGGAAGTGGAGAAGTAGACACAGAGGGAAGCATGTCCCAGTCTGTGAGATTTACTTGCTGTTGGTCCGCTCTCCATCTCAGCTCGTCACATACTAACCCTCTAGCGAGTATGATCACTTGCATACCTGCCTCGAGTGCCGCAAATGCCCTAGAGGCGGCCAGGACATCACCGCCAATAATAAGGATGGTGTTTCTGTGTCCTTTGAATGTCAGAAGGAGGGACGCTCTACCTACTGGCGCGGGGTACTGACTCAATCCATTGGAGACCATGGAAAGGATAAAAAGAGGAGCAGGGTGTGCTTTCAAAATATGGTATAGCAAATCACATCTATTATGTAACATGGCGTTCATCCATTGAGTAGCCGATAATCAACAGTCTCCGTTCCCACTGAGTCGACTTCATTCATTCATTTTCATGGCTCCCCTGTATGGCCCGACATGGTCGACTTCGAGTCTCGAATCCTCGGACATGCACAGGAGATACCAGGCGTTGAGCTTGCACACCGAGTCTATATATCCGAGTCGTCCGATCCCAAACCTTCGTAAGCCAAGACTGGCCTCGATATTTGCGACCATGTAACTATAAAAACAGAGGCTCGGTGTCTTCATCCAGCTAATCCACCAACCATGTACATCCCTCCATTCGATACCACCCCCTACTCCACCATCACCCAATCACCCAATCCATCCTGGACCTATGGCCAGAGAGTCGACGCCACTCCTGCCGGAAAGGACTGGCTTGCAGGCGAATCTGCAGGCTGGAAAGTCTACAGCATAACAGAAATGGACAAGACGTACGTACTCCTCCACTTGTTTATCAGCCGCGATCGCGACCGTGATCGACAGCAATCTCAACAAGCTCTTGAATCCAGGCGTTCTACCACGCCTCATGTCACTCGTATCCATGATCAGCGAGGATGGCGTAGAGAACATGGCACCTTTCAGGTAAGACAGGTTTCCATAATCTGATACATTCTACATGCTTACCTGGCTTGCATCCACCAGTTGGTTCAACACAGTGAGCAATGCGACAAACAACGCGTCCCTCTAACGGTCTGATAAACTTTTCTCATAGGTCACCAACTACCCGCCTGTCATCTCATTCACGATCAACCACAATGCTACGGGCAGCCTAAAAGACATGACCACGAACCTGAAGAACGGCCAAGGACTCACCATGAACATCATCAGCGAGGGATTCGTCGATAATGCAAATTCGACTGCTGTAGACGCTCCTCCCGAGTTCGACGAGTGGGCTCTCAGCGGTCTGACAAAGGAGAAATGCGTACACGTGGACCTTCATCATACGATGCATGGACTAACAATCACGCGTTCAGGTGCAAATAAGAGCCTCGCGCGTCAAGGAAAGCGCTTTTAGCATGGAATGTGAGGTAAGCTCATTTCACGCCGAGCCCGCTCGTTTGCTGACATCCTCGCCTCTCAATAGCTGTACAAATCGATAGATATCACACATCCAATCACAGGCGAGCATAACAGCACGCTCATCCTCACGCACGTCAAGTACTTCCACATGCGCAAAGACATGCTCACAAGCAGAGGTGCCGTCGACCTCACAAAATTCAAGCCTGTCGCGCGTGTGGGCGATATTTCATATGCCCGGGCCGGAGATACATACAGGATCCCTGTGCCTTCATGGGCGAAGGAGGAGGGAAAGATACAGGAAGCATTGAAGACACTCGCATCACTATAAAATAGAACGAGGGTGGCTTACCATTTCTGAACATATACCATAGATCATATAGATATCAGCATCCAGGCGGGATAGAATCCGTCGCTATTTCTTATCCCTAAGATAGAGCTTTATAATTGACTAGCAAGCCATACTTTTCCAAGTGCACATGTTGACTCGAATGCAGACACACGATATCGTCCTCTCTAACCACCTCGAGAGCAGATGGTGCCTCTGCATGTCAAATTTTGAAATCTTGTATTTGCGAGGGTCATTTGCAGGGTATGTATGATATATGAGGCTATGATAATGTGATCGTCGACGTGTTCTAAAAAAACCATTCAGCTACAAAATGTCTAGGGTCGGATCCTGATGTCATAATGTCAATCGAAGCCGGGTCTTTCACCTGCGCAATGATAAATTGGTCCGACGCGACCCTCTTGTATTCTCCAACGCGTTGCTGCGCTACCAAAAGTGCATTGAAAGCCTCACTTGATACGAGCAGAATGGGTCAAGTCGCATTGACAGCAATCACATTGAATCTGCAAGCCGGGCTCGTTTACAGCTGCACAGTTTATGTTATAGCTTTGAGCCCACGATCTGAAACAGGTTAGCGCAAACATAATCGTATGATCGCGAGAGAACATACAGAGAAGTTGTATATCAGCTCTCTGCCAAAAGCGAAGGTAATACACGTCGTCGACAATAGAAGTGATACTCCGTTGTTCGTGGGAACATCAACTGTCGGGCCTTAGGCGTTTTACATACATCATCCATTTTGGGTAGGCTGTGAAGGAAAATTGATCCATTCCTCGCTTTGACTGCCTTCACAGGTCATCTGATATTTTGTCCACCAACTGTCCCGACACTATCCAAAAGTCTGTCGAGTCGGACTGTGCGAGGTATGCCCTACGTTGAACGATAACGTGAATTCTGGGACTGATGTATCTCGTTGATTCTAGCCTTTATTTTCAATAGCCCGGCAATCATGATGAACGTAAATCCAGCGGCCTATCACGATGCTTGCACCGACCACTCGGAAGCTAGATTCAGCGGGTACAACGTAATGTGACTCAACTTCCCTAGCGTGTTTACCACTGCCCCTTCCAAAAACAACATTTTTGTCAAGTTTGAGGCGCAGTGTCGAACACCCGGCCCACGTTCCATGGGCTTCTTCTTCGACGAATCTCGGGAAGCATGGGAAGCCTAGCTATTCGCACCGCACGTGTAGCTGCCCTTTGCGGATTTCTCTAATTTCAAACGCCAGCATGGTAACCCTAGCTATGTGGGTGCCCGTTTATGCGAGCACACGCATATAAGAGGGATGTGAGTAGTGACAGCTTTTAGTGACGATTTCCAAGATGACTCTCATGAAACTTCTTTTCCTTGTGCCATCTGTCCTTGTATTCAATAATGCGTATATTTCTCCGAACCCAGCACCCAATAACGAGGAAACAATTAGCGGCGGTCCGCTCTACGAGCGTATCTGCCCAGCCATTTTCCCGATATTACAACGGGTATGTCAATTTTCGATGTCTAGACACATTAACGAATATCATATAACAGTTGTCGGGCTTGATACCCTGTGTCGCAGAGATAGCCGTCATACTCGCGGCTTATTTTCCATTGCCTGTCTCATCTGGAATCCTCTCTATTCTAGTTCACAGCGGACAGCTTCCGGATATGGTACCAAACACACACTTCATACTCGGAACGATCCTCGTCCTCTTGGGTTGCTTGGGACGCCTATGGTGTTTTCGTGTCATGGGACGCCATTTCACTCACCAGCTGAGCTTGCGCAAGGACCACTCCCTCGTCACCGCTGGTCCATACCGCATTGTGCGCCATCCTAGCTATGTAGCCAGCTGGATCGCCTCGTTCGGGATCTCGCTCATCTATGCGAGCCCCGGATCGTTCGTGCGATCTTCAGGGTGGCTCCCCACTTACATCGGGCGTATCGTATTTGGAATATGGGCACTCCAACTCATGCTGACCGGCGTGCTAAGCTGCGCACGGGCTATGAGCGAAGATGCGATGCTTCGCAAGCGGTTTGGGGCGGAATGGGTCCGGTGGTCTCAGAGGGTGCGCTACAGACTCATTCCGGGTGTATTTTAGTGATTTTTTTTTGTATCTTTGTTGTGATTCAGACTCTAACCTAGACGCGATGTCATATTTGTAGTTCTTTGATGTTTCAGCTTTCGAGCTTTCCGACCAGTACGATCATGACGTGTATTTCATGACCTTTTCATTCATACTTGTATAAGTCTCGATTGTGTAGAGCGCTAGGACTGGTATGTGCAACTGGATCACATGATGAAACCTGATGCTTTGATGCTTTTACTAACAAGCGCCATGTAAAGCAAGCTAGTGTCACCTGCCCTGGCGCTCAGGCACGTGTTACGGGTCTTTGACTACATACTTACGGATCCCACTCTTGGTTTTCAGACTCGTGGGGTCTATTACCAAACGTTTCGAACGGTATGTCTGATACATTCTTATGTTATACACGCTGCTCACCAAAATGCAACTTCGTGCACGCGCCTCCAGGGTCATATGCGGTAGTTCAGAAGCCAGGCTGCGATATATGACGCACCAGCCGATCGTATCTTGATTGCCTTTTTCGAACATGTATAGTTCCTGGTCTGGCCTTTAGGATTTTGCCGCATCGTGCCGCATCCGTGCCGCACCCTACACAACAAGTGTCTTATATGCGTATATAATACGTCTACGTCGTCCACAAAGGTCTTAAATATGATTTACGATTAAGAAATACCATAGTACATGTTTTTGTGTAAGAATTATTGCGGTATCATAGTGAATATAGTACTTCATGGGTGCGGTAGTGACGCGGTAGAATGCGAGATTTGGTGGCTGTGCACTACCGCACCGCACCAACGCATCCTTCTCCACATTTAGTTTTCAGTGAGCTTTAGCTTGATCACATTCCCCGCTACCGGGATGGCTTTGTGACCAAGTATGGCACTGGTTCTTGGTTTCGATCGTCGTGGAAAAATTTCATGTTGGGAAGTGCAGTGCGGCACTTATGTGAGTTTGGTTGGCTTTAAGGATATGGAGACCTTTCCCTTTTCATATGCAGGATTGTCGCGGCAACAATTGTTACGTGCCAAAAAGCTTTTACTGAGACCTGTATAAATAGTCTGCAGATCTATACAAAATCTATCCATAAAATGTTTAAATTCTTTCATACCACTCTCCCAGCTGGCCGGGGACAGCCAAGCTGTTTGCCTTGTTGGCGTGTGCCCATAATACATCCCTGAAAGATGCATATCAAATGCAATTGATACCCAAGTCTTCAGCAATGACCATCGCAGCCCGCTCTCCAATAAGAAGCGCCGTCGAATACGTTTTCTGTGGATATCGTTAGACTGCACATCAAAAATCCCTTGTTCAGCACTCACCGTGCCAACCTTCAACGGTGAGATGGACATATCTGCGACCTTCAGGTTTGACACGCCGTATACATTTAGTCAAGCGTCGACGACTCCTTGATCTGCCTCCGATTTCATGGCACCAGCTCCAAGCTACCCATACAAAGGTCAGATATAACATTATGAAAGGTTCAGGTCCACCCACCGAGTGCCGTATCGTTTGCAATGAAATTTGATTCGGTATTTTACCGCGACGATAGGGATGGCCAGTCAGGACTTACTGATGTCGCGGTAGAATTGATTGATCGCCTGGTCATCTTCGGCAGTGTAGATGATATCAGGCGCATTCAAGTCCACTGGCACGGACGCTTCTCTGCGAGCAGCAGCGTTTCCCTTATTCAACACGGCAATCGGTGGTTGAAACATCATGATTGATGAGCAGTTCACGTGGAATTCGTTGCGTCAAAATTCATCACAGAATTCTAGCAACGAACTTACAACGATGTGCTGGCCAGTGAATGCGTGAGGGCGAGGGATGCTGCATTTCACATAGGTGCCGCGAGGCACCTGGTCGCGCAAGCGGATGGACTACCAACGAAGATGTGGTGAAGCCTGTAGAAATCGCACGGCCTAGTGTGGGTTCAGTATCTTGATAACCCGCAGATGTTGTGAGTTAGTGATCAAATGGCTCGTTTTGGGGTGGACTTACCATTAGGGATATAGTCAGATTATGATGAAGGATGACGCAGATGATTTACTCGAGCAGATGGTGCAGGACCATTGATGCTATCATTTGGACGCAATCGCACATGAGGTTGTGGGTAGGCATCCGCAGGACGAAGATGGTTGAGGGTGATGAGATGGACGGTTCTTCGTACTGTCTGGAGCACAGTCAATCGAGAAGTCATCAAACGTATTGCTGTGACCCGGAATGTTCTGGGGCGAAGCGCTAGGAGGTCAAGGGGGTGGTTTGAGCACGACGACGACACTGTATCCTTGCATATCGAGGGTATTATCTGATTGCTACAACCGCTACACATACACAACATTCACAGGCGCTCCATTGGTGTGCGAGGGGACGATGGGGATGGCTTTATGTATATTGGGCAGCCCGTCAGCCTGAGAGCCAGTAACGACTGGCATACTTGTAGATGATGCTGGGGATATTGCAGAACCTGTGGATGGGCGACTGCCATTATAGCCATTGGGTTGCACCTTAGAGACCTGGGAAAGCTGACGACGCCTGCGTGTGTGATGAAATATGAAATAAATAGGTGATGGTCTGGAAGAAATTTACAATGTAACACAGATATGCCTGCATTAAGATTGGTGAAGGTTGCCGGTACGTGGGTTGACAGGAACGCACCGGCTGGTAGATCTTCGTCGAAGACGTCTTTTCCAATGGTGTTCTTGTATCGGGAGCGGGGGTTTGAAGGGAGTGGCAGGCTGCATCTCAACTTTCGCTGAAACAATAGTTTCTCTATGCGAAGCGGGGAGAGTTAATAGGAACTCCTGCAGCTCGCCCAAAGCATCAAGAGCTAATGCAACATCAGCCGAGGATAAAGACTCGCGATGAATGCAGATGTACGGTGGATATTGGATATCTTGGAAACATGAAAAAGACTAGTAGGGGGGACACGGTGAGATGTAATGGCTCGGAGATGAAATTGAATGTCACGCCGTTACGGGGCCATTCACTGGTGCGCCACAATATCGTATTCTGGCGGTTTGAACAGCATATAGGATAGTTCTTGAAATATCTTGCTCAATGCTCGGAGAGGACAGTCATATAGTACTCCTTGACAACGGTGCAGTTTTTAGGTAGGAGCTGATGTAACTTACAGTAAACACGCGCTCCAGTCTAAAGTTGCCGCTGTCCGGTTCTGAACCCACCGTACCTTTTCTGAACCTCGAACCGAACCACGGTGTTCTTTCATCAGACACTCAGGTATGTTTCCAACTCTTTCGTTATCTCGCCGTGTCTTACATTAGTTTCTTCAGCGTCTCCGTCTGTTAGGTATTGATAATATAAGTTGTTCTTTCATCAGACACTGAGCGTCTCCGTCTGTTAGCTTCTACATCTGCAAACCATTGGCTTGAACTAAATCGGTGCGCTTTATCTGAGCCTGGCAGATGACGATGTTCATCTTCAATCTTCCAGCGGTTTGACACATTCCTGTAATCCACTCGGCGACTGAGGTGCACGGGTAAACTGACTGCACTAATAGCATTTCTAATAGCATTTCTAATGTTCTGAGTAGGGGACGGTGGGTCACCCTAGGGCGTTGTGCCATCAGGTGCGTGGATACAACTTCCGCGTGAAGACCAAGTTGATAGGTGGGGTGTGTTCCCGAAGCAGAGATACAGGTCGTTTGGGTAGAAGTCCAAATTTAGCTAAGGTGTGATAAAATTAGAGACGCAATGCAGAGGGAGAGAAGAAACCGATTGACTGGCATCAATTCCACTCGGGGTACCAATACCCGTGGATGGCGACCTTGGGGTGACACCCGACCACGAGACAAGTTCAGGCGGAGGGGACGTTAGATTCCCGCGGAAGCTCGAAGTCATCATTCCTGACTGAAGTGCGTTTCCGCTTGGACCGAAGGGAAGAAGGGGATGAACCATCTGTTGGACGTTTCTTGCACGAGCGCTGGCGAGTGCCTGGCCTTTTATCAGGCCCTCGCCGTTTAGGTGCTGCATCGTATTGGCATTCATTCGAGCGGCGCACACAATTATGACAAATTGGTCTTGCAGAATCGCATCGAATTTTCCTCGCACGACTTAGCAACCACGAAAATGAGCAACCTGAAATAAGAATAAGAATGAACGCACCATTGCTGACAAGCTACCACCTGATTCGAAATTTCCCTGCGAGGCGGATCCTGAGACGTAGATGCGGCTGGCTGCGGTTGAAGGGTTGACTCTGACGTTGGAACAGGGGATCGAGTGCTCTCTGGAGTTTGTATTGCAGGGGGTTGTGCTGAGCAACCACCTGAGAAAGACTGTGTGCGCAAGTCCTCAGCAGAATATTTTCGATTTCGGGGGCCTTGGTAGAACAAATTGATGACGGCACCGTGAGCCGGTGGGAGCGGAAGGCAGATGTTAGGGTGGGTATGGGGCGGTGTGTCAAGGCCGAGGTGATTTCTTTGTGGAAGAAAGTCAGACTGATATGAATTATGGTAGTGAAGATTCTGAGTTGAATGAAAATCCGAAGGGGTTTCGAGAAGGTGAGGGCGCGGGTGGATGTTGATGTAATTAAACTGAGAGGCTAGGATGCCCGCTGCATGTTGTCTATCTAGTTGATCTTGACGATAGCGGACTTCATTGTGGATAACATGTGAAATGATGATTAACATTGTTTTGAAAAGACGATAGGACTTACTGTATCCATGCGGCTGAGGAAATTGAGCCCCGAAGATGGGTGAATGCAAGCCAGAGCCATCCTCATTGGACTGATAACCGTCCTCCATCATTATGCCTTGTAGAAATGGAGCATAGATGTCACTGTTTGTACTAATGACCATGAGTACTAAAAGAATGAGAGTTGAGAAAGAAAATAGTAAATGGTAATATGGCACTAGTTCTTTACCATGCGAGACTTGAAGCTTGAAGGAGAACATGCGCCGGAATGGCAAGCTCAATGATTAAGTATTACTCCCGAACTCGTTACCAATTCGCGAGTCAAATGAGGATTTGTACATAAGTACAACCGCCGTAAACCTTGGGTAGACCCAAAAAAGTGTTAAGCCTTACAGCAGTATTTAATAAGGTGAGCCAAAGTGGCGCTCAAAACCGAAAGCGAACGCTGCCCTTGAAGTCGTCCTCGCCAATCACCTGATCTCCGTGTCACGTCGGCCTATTACTCGGATGACTATTTCACGTTCCGTTATTGTTAAACTGTTTGGTTTGGTGGGTCCCTGCCATTTTTTTACAATGTCTTCTGCACAGTCGCCATGCCTTGCCGATCGCATTTCAACACCTGGGGTTTGGCCGGCAGCATATTACTTGGCGGTCTTGCAACAAATAATCCAGTCACCATCCCGCATTCACATAATTAATATATCTCAGATGGGGAGTTCGACTCTGGTACTGCCCACACCGGCAACGAAGTCGAAGCCAATCATTTCAGCACCTCTCGAAATAGAGCTTACAAGTCCTGCAGAGTTTTATCTTAGTGTGGACAGGAACTGGAGCAACTTATCTTCCGATCAAGACCAATTTTACCCATCACATTCCCAGTATCACCAATATAATCCATCAGCCTCTTGCCGGTCATCTTCTAATCAGCCACAGTACTTGCAGCAGCTGCATTTGCAATATCATAGTCTTCATCGCCTGGGCCCCAAGCATATCGAATACCCACTCCACCCACCCACCAGTGGCACCTGCATCCATTATACACCCCCTGCACGCCCTTCAAATCGATCTAATAATACTCTTTCTCTTGAGTTCTATGAACAAACAAATCAGCATCTCCCCATACCCACTCACTCATCTCAAGCACACATCGAACAGTCTTCGGCATCACTATCTAGTTCTCATGGGTCACTGTCAACGTTCCCTGCCGCCCCAACTAGACACCTCTTCGAAGACGCAGGACCTTACCTGCGTGAGACACTACACATTCCAGCCCACAAGAAAATTGACTTGTGGGCGCTTCCAGATCCACTTGAAGGAGAGAAACCAAACCAGCCCTATCCTATACTGATCAAGCTGGCAATTTACGGAAGCCCGAATAAGCAGCTCACATTGCAAGAGATATACACAGTACTCGAGGGTCGTTTTGAATGGTTCAAGTTTCGACGAAATGAGAAGGCTTGGAAGGTGGATTTTGTTCTGACTCCTCACCTATTCCGCCTCATGACTATGCACAGAACTCAATTCGCCATAACCTTTCTTTGAACAAAGTCTTCAAACACGTTCCCCGTACCATCATGGAGCCAGGCAAAGGAAGCTATTGGCAACTTGACTGCTCTGATGGCGAGGGTTACAAGCGCACTCGTAAGCGCCGCAGCAAGTCTGCTCAAGCAGTGCTCGAACAAAGCGATGATGATGATTCTTTGTTGGGAGGTGGTGACGTGGAGGGGACGAATGCACCTCTGGCTGGTATGCCAGCAGGTTCGAGTCACGCTCCAAATCGTCCTAGCCTTGCAGCATCCAACGACTCCTACATCAATCCTGAGTTGAGACAGGGAAGTCACATTGTTGGTGAAGGTCGAACCCGATCTGTATTGCGCAGGCCCACCACCAGTCCATATCAGCGTAAAGTAAGTTACCCGCCACCACTTGTGCCGTTCTCTGGGTTGCTCGAAAAGCTCGAATCGAGTGCCAAGGACTGGAGCAAAGAGACTATGAAGGGCATCGTACATGTATCCCGATAGCCAGTCGGAACATTTTCCCATCTAATCTTCAATTGCAGCTTGCTATCAAGCTTCTCAACTCTCTGTGTTTCATGTCTCGATCAGACACTGCGACCTAATACTATGTCCCACAGAGCTTACACGCCAACCTACCTACGTACCTTTTGTACCATATCCTAGTCATCTAAATAGTCCCTACAGCCCCTCATAATTTTGAACTAGTTCATAATGCACATTCAATAAAACCTATCTGCTGGACTTTTACACGCATGGTGCATCCGTGGGACTGACATAGTACTAGAAACCTCTACGTGCTCGGTCTGCCCTTTGATCTCACCAAGTGTGCCTACTCTTAGTCGTCACACCTTTCATGCTCACGAGTCACTAGGCCCGAATTTTCCGCCTTGTTTTCGCGTTTTGGTACTGTCATGCACGCTGTGATTCTCGCCACTGTCGATAACGCATCTCGCCGTCGCGGGTTCGTGGTAATATCATCTCATGAGGAAGCCAAACGTGCAATGAATGCGCTCTCGCGAACGCAAATAAAGTATTAGAGCATTTGCTTCGCGATTCAAAGCTCAACTTACTGACACGTCACAGAGGACACACCCTTGATGTATCTTGGGCCGTCGTACAACGCTCTCAAGGTGCGAGCTAAAACCAGTTGCAAGTACTCTACCTCATTTATCCGGCTTCCTAGATGACGCAGACAGGACGATGATGCTGGCATCCTCAAACCCTTCCGAGTCACTTCCGGAAATGGAGTTCGATCACCAACCCGCACCTCCAACCATCAGTTCACCCCAATACGCCTTCCTCGAAGTTGCTGGTATCGAACTTGCCGATTCTTCTCTTTGCTCAGGCCAGTGACTTGCATCCTCTGTTCTATCCTTTCGGTCCCATCAAGGAGGTGAAGCTCATGGATTCTGCTATGCTCGGCAATGGAACCACAACCGCTCTAGTCGAATACGTGAATGTCTTCGATGCTCAGGAAGCCAAAGACGCACTTCAACGACAGTTCTATGGGACCTCACGCCCGGAAGTCCGATTCATCCAAGACAATATATATCCGGTTAATTCTACTGCTGCTGCGTATGCCCAGTCTCCCATGCTACCGAAAACATCTGATGCCGGCCTTAATCCTTGTGCTGCTCCTTTCGTCTTTGGATCCCGCCACTTGCCACCCTTGGCTTCTGGTCTTAGCGCCGTTGCGCACGATTCATTTGTCAACGACCTCAATCTTGCCAATAGACCGTCTTTACATTTGCTAACTCCAGCCGAGTAGACCCTCTGCTCGCAGCTCCGAATCTTACCCAAACCTTATCTTGTCATCAAGGAGACCTTCGTCCGGGAGTACGCTTGTCGTGGAGGTAAGCTTCGCCGCAGGGAAGCACGGGATCCCGTCAAGATTGATGTGAACAAGGCGAGTCGAGTGACAGGATCTTGTGAAGGATCTAGAATTCGGAATTTGCCGTGCACGAGGCGGTGATCAGATTATGGAAGATGAGAACGGCCCGGATGTATGTGCCAGGGCACGAATGCAGGAAGAGCGCAAAACTGTTGCTGGTTCCAGGAACAGCAATCAGCCACCCGTCAATGGTGTCATGGC